ACAATATAGGAATTAATCGATATGACTGTTGGGAATAAAAAGAAAGAAATTGTCATGTATTAGGTGCAGTCTATCTTTCAGCATTTACCTCCAGAATGTGAGCCAGCTCACTAGCCTTCATATTGAAAGATTATGCCTCTTCTTCAATGCATTTACAGAGCAAACAGAATGTAAGTTACAACTTGAAACATGCTTATTTTGCAGGAATAATTTCCCTAAATGAATATGTAGGATCTGTTTATTAACTTCCAGAGTGTACTCTCTCCCAGTAATGCCCTATATCTTTTTAAGTATCTATGTGTAGGCGTATTTACCATCTATAGAATTTGTCAGGGTGCCATTAACAGGTGCATCTCCTGAATATTTCCTCCTGGTGTTTTGTTCTTGAGCCAATCTTTCCTTTTCTGCTATCTTGGGATTTATTTCTTTTGGTAGAAAAGACCCAAAAGCTCTCATCAGGTTTTTATTAAAAATGAAAAGATGATGTTAGCTTCACTTTTGTCATCCTGTCCTCCTCCTCCCACACCCACACCATCTTTTCTTTCCTGACCTAAAATTATAAGCTTTGCATCTAGTGAAACTCAGTGTTTTGAGATCAAAGGAAACTTATCGACTAAGCTAATGTTGGCACAGGGGAGGCATATATATTTTCTGTCCCAGATAACAGATGTTTCTTCAGCCTTGCTCTTGGGTATGTGGGAGATGACAGGAGGATATGCCATCTAGATCATTGAGGGTTTGGAGGGGGGGGGAGATAACAAAGAAAATATACAGTATTTAGGTGTTAATCAGAAAAAAAAAGTAGTGGCATAGTTGATATGTAAAGAAGTTAAGAATTAATCAGTCTAAATAACTCATTTTTCAAGTTTGACAACTTTAAGATATGTGGACAATGCTGCCTGTGGAATTCTGGAAAAAGTCCACACACCTTAAAGTTACCAAGGTTGAAAACCATTGATCTAAATATTATAACATTGGGAGTGTTCAAAACAGAACGATGCTGCACTTAGTGTTGGTGATTTGTAATTCAATTTCTAGAGTTAGTTAAGTCAGAAAAACGAACACTTGATCAATTTAGTCTATAGCAAGATAAGTATATCTGAGAAAGCAATAACAATTTAGAAATGTTATTCTCATTAAACTATGTAAGTAAGTAAGTAAGTTTCTATCAAAATAAATATTTAAGTGAATTGACCTGATAATTTTGTGAACATTATAATGAAATAAAAATGAAGTCCTGAATTGCAAAACGATAACAGTTTCAGCACCGAGTAAATTTGATCCTTGAATTGTTTCTAAAAAGAAACTCAAACGTATTGAGGAGTTAAGAAATACATTTTAAAACCAGGATGCATATTGATAGAATTGGGGAGCTGTGTGGTATCTCAGAGTTCATATGCTGTATATTCCAAAGTGATGATATCAGATTATTTTAAGACTTCATAGAGTAGCTGCTCTTATAGAAATGAATACAATGAAAGTTTATGGAAAGTAGCAATTGTTATAGAGTACGTTGAGATCTAAGTAATGATTATTGATTTGAACAATAATGGTTAATGGTTTTGACAGTCTAGAGTTGCATTACAGAGCCCAAACCTCTCTGAGTCTAAATCATCACAGTCTTCCACTCCTAAGCAATTCTGTGAAGAGATTATCATGTTCTTTTTTCAAACTGATGCATCCTAACAGGACACTAAACAGCTGAAATACAAAGCTGCACTCTTAAGATTGTACATTCCACAACAGAGAAATGAAGGCAAAGGTCTTCAGGGAGAGGAAGATAAAAGGGCCGAGTTGACATGAACGCTACAGTAAATTATCCAGTTTAGGGTCTGGGGTTATTTATTTTTGTAAGAAATGTATATCCTTTCTCTGTCCCAGGGGTGAAATTCAAAAAATTTCCCTACCGGTTCTGTGGGCCTGGCTTGGTATAATAGTAATAGCAACCAGGGGTGATTTTTTTACCAATTCAAATCGTCCCTACCACCAGTGGTGGGATTCAATTTTTTTTTACTACCGGTTCTGTAGGCGTGGCTTGGTGGGCGTGGCAGAGGAAGGATACTGTAAAATATCCAGTCAGAGGTAGAATTTGCCGGTTCTCCGAACTACTCATTTCCGCTACCGGTTCTCCAGAACTGGTCAGAACCTGCTGAATAACCACCTCTGCCTACCACCTCTCCTGAGGTGGGCCGAGGTGTTGAATTTCACCTCTCTCCTCCAACTTGAACAATTGCAGTTCTGGGTGGTTTACCTATGAAGGAAAGGAAGATGTAATAAACAAAAAGAAATACATTCAATTAAAGTTAAGACAAATCCTTAGTAGATCATCTGTTACCTTCCTCCACACAGTGACTCCCATCATCCTGGCCCCAACAGCCAAGGGAAAAAGGCAGGTTTTAATGTCTTTCTGTATGCTGGAAGAGAGGTGTGATCCTTCCAAAGATTGTGTGCCTTCTGGATCCCATCAGATGGCATTGTCTCAAGAAGGGACCTGAAGAGTGTCCACCTTGACAGAATGAGTGAGCAGGCAGACATCCTTCAGGAGAGGTGTTGATGGTGTTGGTGATTTTTTTTTTTTTTCATTCTCTCACTCAATTTATTCCCGCTTTGAAATTTATCAAGATCTGGTCCTAAGAGTCAAGTTCTGGATCATGTGCACAGCTACCAGAATTTGAGTTCCAGAATTTCCCACAATTGACATTTGCTGTCTTTGCTAATTCAGCTCTTGCAAAAAGTGCCTTCCTGTAGTGACAGCTTTGTAGGGAGGCTGCAGTTATGAACAGAGTTACAGGAGTGTTGCCTTTATGGCCCCTTCAAGCAATGGCATAAAAATAATAATAATAATAATAATAATAATAATAATAATAATAATAATAATAATAATAATAACCTAATTAACTGCCAGCAGTTCAAAGTGTTCATGAGTGCTCCCTGCCGATGAGCCTTAGTTCTTTTCTGCTCACAGAATTAGTGCAGTTGTTATTTGAACAGCTGAAATTACACTGGACTATGAAAAGAAAAAAAAATCCCTGGCATTTATTCTTCTTCCTTCTTTGGCATTGTCTCCAAATTCTGGCTATAATTCTCAAATTACCTTAAGACACCTACCTATCCAAAATAATAATCTTAATAATCCAAGGGTTTATTATGGTGGTGGTGTTTCTTTAAAAAAAAAAGAGAATAGATTATATTTTAAAGAGTTGAGTTTTTTTTAAGGTTCCCTAGAATAGAATATCCATTTCTATTTGGGAGGAAACAAAATTTATTTATTTGATAATTTTATTTGCCACCCATCACACTATGGGGCTACTCTGAGAGATTTACAGCAATAAAAGAAAAAAGAAAACATAACAATAGCAAAGGAATAAAACAATAAAAAATAAACAATGGAAGTACAATAATATGAAATTAAAGAAAATGGGCCCAGGGGGAGCAGGACGCGGGAGGGGAACAGTAGATTCAGTTAATTAATCCAGTAGCCACTCCCAATGAGGTACTTCGCTATTGGGTCCCCAGGTCAACCAGTAGAGCCAGGTTTTCAGGGCCTTGTGGAAGGATAGGAGCAGTGGTGGGATTCTACCAGCTTACCTACCAGTTCTGTGATCGTGCACTTCATGCGTGTGCATGCGCCCACAGCTTTCCAAACACCAGCTGAGGCTCTGCCATGCCAATCAGCTGAGAGGGTAAAGAACAGGAAAGTGCAGGAGCGGGTGGGAGGACTGATCCTGCACTTTTCTCTTCTTTCTCCTCTCAACTGATTGTTAGAGCTTTTTTTTACTACTGGTTCAGGTGAACCGGTAGCGATTTTTGCTCCCGGTTCGGTCGAACCAGGCCGAACCGGTAGCATTTCATCACTGGATAAGAGGGTGGGTGCAAATCTCATGCCAGAGGGCAGGATGTTTCAGAGGGCTGGTGCTACCACAGAGAAGGTTCTTCTCCTGGATCCCATCACTTGGAGTTCTTTGACCGATGGGATCTTCAGCAAGTTTCCTCTGCCAGCATGTGTAGGGCAGGCTTGTCCTAACAGGATGGGATTGTTCATCAAGTAATCTAGACCTATGCCATGGAAGTCTTTAAAGGTTATAACCAACACCTTGAACTGCAACCAGAATCAAACTGTTAGCCAATGTAGCTCATGAACATGGGTCATTCAATGGACCCAAAGACTGCTCATGCTGCTATATTTTAAACATTGCAGTAATCCAGAGGAGTAATCCATTTGAATTTTTATCCTAAGTCTTAGGAGAACACTGATTCAATTTTTCTGATGCAGAAAAAAAATGGCAATGTACACTGATGTTTTGTATCTCTAAATAACTCCTCTGCATCTAGGTGCCCTGAATTAGCTAGGTTGTTCTTTTGAAAGACATCTGTAGGCTTAAATAGATAAATACAGGATGCTAAGACGGGGGCTTTCTTACAAATTATGGATGATGGAAATAATTATGCAATTTTGTTGATAATTGGAGCTCTTGAAAACCAAGATAAAGAATGAGTTGATCCTCCCTATATAATTAAACTTTAATTGTTTAATAAAATGTCCTGCAGATTGAATTCAGTATGACTTGCTTTCAAATAAAGATGCCAAACTTACTTTTAATATGCACTAAACAATTTGTTAGATATTCCAATATTATTACCTGTTTCAAGCTTTTATCATAGATTAAGAAAATATATGTAGACCCAAATACTGTAATTTAGACACTCCAGTATTCTGATTGATCTAGTAGATTAGGGAAAATTAAACTGCATAAACTCTAGGAAAAGTTAAATGTGGCACTTATACTTTTGATTCTGCAGGACACATTTTAAATGTATCCATTATTGTGTGAGGAAGCAGGGCCAATAAAAGTGTGTGTGTGTGTGTGTGTGTGTGTGTGTGTGTGTGTGTGTGTGTGTGTGTGTGTGTACACTCAAGACATTTGAATAAGATGCAGTTGTCAACAGCCGTATAAGTGAATATGCCTCTAACCAATGTTCTTTCTCTTTCTATTCCGCAGGACTTGTGAAGTTGGGAGTTCATTGTGTAACATGTCAAAAGGTCGCTATAAAAATTGTCAACAGGGAGAAGCTCAGTGAATCGGTGCTAATGAAGGTAATTTTCCAAAGGGAGATCTGGGGGGAAAAAGAGAAGCAGTTGGCTCAGTGATTTTTGTTCTTTGCAAAATTAATATCTTTAATTAAATTTAACAAACATTCTTGTCAGTGCTGACATTGTGCATTGCATAATAAGGCCTCTATAGAGAGGAGATAGCAAACTGAAATTTAAAAGGATAGTGTATTTCTCTGGTTTGATTAAGACCAAAAGAAATAACATCTAATCATCCCACAATAATTGACTGTGAAAATATTAGTTATAAAGTTATCCTTTATTGCAGGAGCGGATTCCTTTTCCTTGCTTTAGAGATCTGAAATTAGATGTTTGATTAGCCAGAGACTTTCACTTTGAGAAGACCTGGCTAGATCGCTCTCTGTTAACTTTATCATGAGGGTGGAGGGGAGGCTTGGTTGTCTTACCTGTTGTAGGTGCCTCATAGACCCTGTTGAATTTCAAACAGAGAGTTGTCCCATGTTATTTTATGATTCAACTAAGGCCTTAGACTCTTCTTGGAAAGAGAGGATGACTATGGCTTTGGATCAGATTGTGTGGAGACCTCTTGGTTTTCATAGGAATTCTGAGAAATGAAATGGTATGAGATCCAAGAGCACTATTAGAGGAAAACAAAGAGGGAATCCATCCAAGTACAGGTAAACATCTTTAAGGATTACATTATGGTGATAAGAGCAGCAAACAATTATTATTTTTCAGGTCTTTTTTTATAAATTTCCAAAAGAGAGGCCTGTTTGGTGTGACCCAATCTCTTATAAGTAAAGAGGAATCAAGTCAGGCTTTATAGGTCTCCTGGGAGAATTGTCCGAAACATTTGTTGGATTAAGTCACTTGCATTTGCTTGGAACTGGATCTCTTCTGTGCAGCTCCCATAGAATTATGTTATACTTAGTTAACAAGGAAATATTAATCCTGCTACTCCTAATGAAATGGACAGGATCCTTGGGTTTTGAACTCTGATCTTGTGTTTTAGATCCATGTCCCTCCTGGTTGCTCAAGGCTTCCCAGGAGATGGCAGGTGATTGGGTCCTTGTGTTGGTGAATGCTTCTGGAGAAAGAGGACAGTTTTGCCAACTTCAAAGAAAGCAGTGATCTGCGCTTCTTAGGAAGCCAATGAAACTGGACAGCTTTCGTCCAGTTTTCAACCCTCCCTCAGAGAAGGTTGTTGAAAAGATGGTAATCTTACAGTGCCAGAGAACCCTGGAGGGAGTGGGTTATTTGGATCTCATTTCAGTCATATTTTCATATTTCACACTGAATACTCAAAGGCATGAATCACATTTGTTAATGACCTTTGGCAGGCTTGGTATGTGGGTGGTATGTCCAGCCTAGCCCTTCTGGAACATGGTATACCAGCATAAGGAGATTGGGAGTGGGAGGCACAGGTTTTGGTGGGTCTCCTACATAAAACTTCATTTTGGCCAGCAGAGGCACCATGGGCTAGTCCTTTGATATTTCCTGGATGGCCCCCGTGGGCCAGATCTAAGCACCCCACAGGCCGCATCCGGGCCGTGGGCCTTGACTTTGACACCCCTGCTTTAGAGCCACTTGGATCTGGAGATTTTCCATGCTTGACTCTGGATAGAATGGCACAGACTATGATACAACTGATAAGCAATGAATGTCTTCTTGGATTCACAGTTTGGGTTTAAGGAGCAAATGTTTGTCATAGCCAGAATGTCATTTGTAAACATTCATTATATGTCTGCTACCAGGTTGAAAGACTCTGATCATGATCACTCACATCTTAGTCACAACTCAGTTGGACTATTGCAGTAGGGTGATCCTTGAAGAGGATTAGAAAGGTGCAGCTAGTTCAGAATGCAGCTTCTGTAGGCTTCCAGGTGCCATTCAAGATGCTAGCTATCACCCGTAAAGCCTAGGTGGCACAGGCTCAGATTGTTTGTAGGACTCTCTGCCTTTGATTCTGCTTGTCCCATCAGATCAAGTTAGGCACGTTCTGAATCCTTTCTCTGAAACAATGACCTCTATCAGGAATCAAGAGACATGCCTTCTTTGTCACAGTGCCTACACTATGGAACAGCATCCCCCTGGCATGAACCTAATCTGTTAGCCTGACCTTGAAAAACCTCAGGCATTAGGCCAGATATCTATTGAGCACTGTGTGTAAGGCTGGAGTTATTTCTTTTCAGACAGACTACTAGAAGCCTCAGTTGCACTATATTGTTTATGTGTGTTTAATTATTTTGTTTTTCCCACAACTGAATCCAAAGCATTACCCAATGCTTTTCAAATATAGGATATCTGAGAGGGCTTCAGTGTCACCCTAGGGCAAGGGTGTCAAACCTGCTTGCATCGCAGGCCATATCGTGATGTATCGCAATGTTTTTTTTGCCTTTGCGGAATCGGGGTGGGCGTGGCCTGTGCAGGCTGTATCTGGCCCACAGGCCGCCAGTTTGACAGGCCTGAAATAGATGCATTCTATTCTATCACAGTGCTAGATGCAATTGCAGAAGTGTGAGAGATGATTTAAAAAAGCATTTTGTTGTTGACATGTTGACTGTTTCATAACTACCATACAAGGAGGGAGGGTAGATATAAGAGCATTTGTTCATCAGTAAAATCATGCTCTACATGTGGATGCAGCTATGTGCATGAGAAAACAACTAATGGAACAACATTTGTATCTTTTTTATGTGAAAGAAAGCGTGTTTGCCATTTGTCATTTCTATAAATACTACAAGTGTCTGTTTAAAAATCTGTGACAGATTGGAGCAAATTTTGATGTTCATTCAATAGATTAACAAATTAAACATTGCAGTTTTATTTCTTGTTGGGACGACTCTCTATTGTTCAATTTGGGGTAGAAAGATATTTTGGTTTTGGTTTTAATGAAGAGAAGTATTCAAAATTGACTTTTTCATACTTGTAAATTAATATGGTCCAGGTCATTCCAAACTTATTTTCCTTAATGGGACAGACTAGGTCTAAGCATACCTTCAATAAAAGGCTTCAATTTACCAGCCCATCTAGTATTGTGGAAAATAATCATTATTCATTTTTTTGCGAACGGGATGGAGAATTTAAATCTTTATGCCCTGTATTGATCCAAAAGTACATAGTTTCTTCTTATGAAGCTGTAATTTGCATGAACAGGAAATCTGTCTACTGTCTAAATAGCAGCTTCAAATTATTGATTGTCATTTCAAAGCTATAACGATTTGGGCAGAGGAGGCTGAATAGGCAAAAGCAATGGTGGGATTTAATTTTTTTTTACTACCGGTTCTGTAGGCGTGGCTTGGTGGGCATGGCAGGGGAAGGATATTGTAAAATCTCCAGTCAGAGATAGTATTTGCCGGTTCTCCGAACTACTCAAAATTTCCACTACCGGTTCTCCAGAACTGGTCAGAATCACCTCTGGCCAAAACTCCGCATCAAATATTACAAAAGGGAATTTGAGGTACAACTGCTAAATTTGCTTGCCACTAAAAGATCGCAACAGGTAGACTTATCTAAATTTAAGACACAGTAAGGTTTCATCAGCTTGGACATGCCCAAAAGAAAGCTGACAGCAGCGACAAAAAATAACCAGGAAATACATAGTGAGTTTTTCTTTCAGGTCTTCAATATACTTTGGCTGCTATTTCTAGTTTTATTACATTTACTGCAAATGATTGCATGCTGTTGGTGTAAGGGAAATCCTCCAAGTGAAGTGTGATCCATTCTATTTTAGTCTTCTGTTCCACCGTTCTCTTTCTCTGTTTTTGCAATTGTTTTTTAAATATTCTGAAAGCTGGCCTTTTTCTCTGGAATTGCTTTGCAGAATAGGGAGTCATTTGGTAAAGTGTTTTCTAATCATAACACAGTAGTATCAATGTTTCTGGAGAGAATAATTCAGAATTGAAGCAGCTGGACTAAATTAACAGAGCTGCTGCTATATAAATAATATACAGGAAAACATGTTGGGAAATGGAACTGTAACAAACGTGTCATTTGAGTCTACAGAAACTTATCCAAGGAACTGGATTATGGGTAGATTACTAAGGGTAGACATATGGATTCGTCCAGTGGTGGGATTCAGCCAGTTTGCACCACTTCGGGAGAACCAATTATTAACTTTCTGAGTAGTTTGTTGAACTGGTTGTTGGAAGAAATCATTAGGTCAGAGAACCGGTTGTTAAATTATTTGAATCCCACCACTGGATTCGTCTCTGAGTGTCCACTTGTACTTTCTACATTCAGGCGTATTTTACATTTTCTTGAGATGAATCTTAAACTTGTTTCCAAAGAGCTCACAACCTGTATTACTAGAATGAAGCTGGTGACCAGTCTCTGGTCAAACAGGAGCCAGAAATAAATGTTACTAGTGATCACATGTTTATTGGAATTGTTTCTCTGATATTAAGTTTTGTGAAAACAGCCCACTCAATTATGTGAAGAAATACCATGCAAAAGAGAATGGCGGTTTTTTTCAATTTATAATAACACCCTGAGATTTGTTGTCCAAAATACCTATTTTTGCCCATTTGGGATTTGCTTGCTACAGGTTAGTACTTGACTTACAACAGTTCATTTAGTGACAGTTCAAAGTTACGACACTGAAAAAAGTGACTTATGACCATTTCACGCTTACAACCATTGCAACATCCTTGTGGTCATGTGAACAAAATTAAGGCGCTTGGTAACTGACTCACATTTATGATGATTGCAGTGTCCAGGGTTATGTGATCACCTTTTGAGACCTGACAAGCAAAAGTCAGTGGGAGGGCCAGATTCAGTTAACAATTGCAGTGATTCATTAAACAACTGTGACAAGAAAGTTCATAAAATGGGGCAAAATTCACTTAGCAAAATGCTTCACTTAGCAACAAAAATTTTGGGCTCTATTGTGGCGGTAAGTCAAGGACTCCCTGTACTTATTTGACTTGAAATGTAGTGATTCAACTGTTTCATCAGGTGGTCTCGAATATTTTTTATAAGAAAATAATTTTTGATCCTTTCTTGAGGAAATTGATATGTGGATA